AATATAGATGTCTGTAGCAGCATTACTACTTCATATTGAATATCTTCACTTGTAACATCATTTGGGGCACCACCTTCAATCAAAGTAGAAATGAAAGAAATATGAATAACCAGTCTTATTACCTGAGTTGTGAATTCCCAATACATTGATCCTTAGTTTCTGCTTTGAAGAAAATTCACAGACAAAGACTTGGTGATAAAGGAAACATTTATTTACAGCTAAAGGTTAATAACAAACGATTAAAGCAAATAAATTAGGTTTTAATAAGGTTATACGACGTGAACCCAGAGTCAAATAAATGTATGACATGGGTTTTTAATCAGCAGTTTAGAAATTATTATTTCGTTTGGCCATAGTGAAAGAGAGGATGTGATTTATAATGACTTCTAGATGACTAATTCAGCTTTCCTCAGACCTACATTCACGGGCCCCCCAGCAAGGTGGCGCTCACTGGAACACGGTGGTGGCCGATGTGTTGAGTCAGACACAGCTATGTTTCTCCGCTGGTCCTCGGCCGCACACTATCTTGAGGAGGAAAAAGTCTCTGATGCAAAAACTGATCTAAGAATTATTCTTAGTAGCTGGTTTGCAGGAACTGTACATCATGAATCTCCATCTGTAGATTGGTAGCCTGAGTCAGGCAGGAGCTCTGCTAATTTTTTTTATTATTATTATTATTTTATTTTTTATTTCTTACAAAAAAAAATATGAGGCTTGCTTCCCATAAACTTCAAATAACTTGTTAGAGTTATTTAGAGTTAGAGTTAGTCAGTCACTAAATCCTTCTCTGGCAGACTGAACAGTGTAGTAGTATGAGTACTGGAGGATGTAGTCTGTACGCCGTTATCCTGCATGTTAATTCACAGGGACCTCTCCAAGTGGTGGACTGTGTGTGTTTGAGAGGGAAATGTTGAATTATGTAATAAGCAATACTTGATTATAACTTAAACCCGTTTTTTCGCGGAGTGACATCTGTGCAAAGGAATTCAACATCAAATCTGTTGTGTACACTCATTATATCAATTTACAACCAAAAAGCCACCTTTGACGCATCAGTATAAATTAAAAGGTGCTTTTAAAAGTTCCCAGGGTGCCTTCAGTGCTGGGAAAGACTGTCTTCTAATGCTGTGCACCATTAACCTGGAACTCCTTGCAAAAAACCCTCCGGCTGAAGGTACTGGTACCTTTTGGGAGGTTCAAATCCTTGATTACAGAGGTTTTTAAAGATGAATGTAACTGTTGTTGAATAAGCAGGCATTACAATGATGTATTTTAACTACTGTTTGAATTTTTAATGTACGGGTTAGACAGCGAGTTGTGTCTGTTGTTTTTGTAGCTAAAAGGGTAAATGTTTTAATTGTATTTTCTAATATTGTTTTATGTTTGTACTGCTCCCTTTCTTTGCCAGGGCGCCCTTGAAGAAGAGATTTTATCTCAATTGGTTTTTCCCCGTTAAATAAAGTTTAAATAAAATAAATAAATAAATAAAATCACTCCATGTTAAACGAGGAAATGTCAACAAGAACAAGTCAAACAGAACAACAACAGGGTCCTGTTTCAGAAAGCGGGAATAGTGAAAATTCTGAGTATGTTAAGCCTGAAATGAGGGAAAGTCTGGGTTTTCCATTTCAGAGAGCGAGATCAGATAAACCCCAGATCAGTAACTCCGGCAACTGATGCACATATCTGAACACATTTATGTGTGTCATTTATAAAACTGGATTTATTTTCAATCCGGTGGCTTCACAGACTTGACGGGATAATGGTGAACACGTCACAGTACAAAGAAATGAAATGAAGAAATAAAGACGTTACGACTAACAGCTGTCTTTGTGATATTTATTAAAGTAAGAATAACAGAGTGAATCAGCTGAAGGGCAGAGCTCATACACCAGAGGGCTGTTAGAGAGTCTGACCCAGAGAAACAGAGAAGACATTTAATGCTAGAGAATAATTGTGGAGTCCAACAGAAAAGCCTTTCTCAGCCTTGAACCACAGTGGAAACTCCTTTCTCACAGGAAAGCATGAAACAAAACAATCTCACAGAAGGTCATTATATCAAAACACTGGTACACTTAGTGGGAATTATAACACCACATAAGATGAGCAAAGAACATAAAGTAATGACATATAGAGGATTATTAAAAGTACAGACAGGTAAAATCTTTGTTTCTATTACAGTTCCCCCTTCGGCCGTCACATGGTCACATTAAGTTTATAACAAACAGTTCATCAATGAATGCTCTCATCTTACTGTTTAAGCAGACATATCATTAGGAGACAAAAGAAATGAGCTTCAGCTGTTTTTATAGAACAGAGATATTCTTGAGTAATGGGCAAGTTACCAAGCAGTTTGGTCTAAATCATAAATGTTGTCATTGTCATGATCAGGTGGATTCAATCAGGTGAATCATTTGACATGTTGGTCGGCGTCCCTCAGACTGATATATTTACATTATATTTATACATTAATTAGCTGCAAACAGTACAAACAACCCGCAGAGGAGATGGTGCATGGGTTGGTGCAGGAGCCACGTTGAGAGCTTCAGTCTGCTTCAAAGAAGAGCTTCTTCAAGAATCAAAGAGAATCTTTTATTGTGAGCAGACATGTCTTCACCTCAGCTGTCATAAATTTGGATTTGCTTTCAGTCTGAACAAAACCACATTCAGTAATAGAAAATAAAAACAGTGAATATAGATGTAAAATACAGATTATTTAATGTAAACATGTTTAACTACAGCTCAGTAACAAGAATATATGTATGAAGCACACAGAAACAATATTTCATCAAGTGTGGAGCTTCATTCTTGACCTTGGGGGACACATCTGTAATAAATGAGTCTGAACTCAAGCCTCACACACCACCTCTTTGTTGGAGCTTTTGACCACATCCTATGGTCTTCTTAAATGTTGAGGGATTCAGGTCCACATCTTTACAATTTACCTCAAACTATTTGAATTCTACATATACAGTCGTGGTCAAACATTTTGAGAAAGACACAAGTATTGGTTTTCACAAAATTTGCTGCTTTGTAGATATTTTTGTCAGATGTCACTATGGTATACTGAAGTATAATATATAATGTAATTTCATAAGTGTCAAAGGCTTTTATTGACAATTACATTATGTTTATGTAATATTTGCAGTGTTGACCCTTCTTTTTCAAGACATCTGCAATTAGGCCCAGCACACTGTTAAATAACTTCTCGGCCACATCCTGAATGATGGCAGCCCATTCTTGCATAATCAATTCTTGGAGTTTGTTAGAATTTGTGGGTTATTGTTTGTTTCTTGAGGATTGACCACAAGTTCTCAATGGGACTAAGGTCTGGGGAGTTTCCTGGCCATGGGCACAAAATTCTCATGTTTTCTTTCCCAACCTACTTGGTTGTCACTTTTGCCTTATGGCAAGGCGCTCCATCATGCTGGCATTGTTCGTCAAACAGTTTTGGGATGGTTGGGAGAAGTTGCTCCCGGAGGATGTTTTGGTACCATTATGTATTTTTTCTTCGGCAAAATTGTGAGTGAGCCCGCTCCCTTGGCTGGGAAGCAACCGCACACATGAAGGGTCCTCAGGATGCTTTACTGTTGGCATGACACTGGACTGATGGTAGCGCAAGCTTTTGTTCGGATGTCCCAAACAATCGGAAAGAGGATTCATCTGAGAAAATCACTTTAGCCCAGTCCTCAGCAGTCCAATCCCTGTACCTTTTGCAGGATAATAATCTGTCACTGATGTTTTTCCTGGAGAGAAGTGGCTTGCTTCCCTTCTTGACACAAGGCCATCCTCCAAAAGTCTTCCCCTTAATGTGCGTGCAGATGCACTCACACCTGCCTGCTGCCATTCCTGAGCAAGTTCTGCACTGGTGGTGCCCCGATCCTGCAGCTGAATCAAGTCCTGGTGCTTGCTGACTCTGAAGACTTCACAACAATTGAACCTCTCTTCTTGAATGTCTTGATGATCTGACGGTTGATTTTGGTGCAAATTTACTAGCAGCAATATCTTTGTCTGTGAAGCCCTTTTTGTCCAAAGCAATGATGACAGCACATGTTTCTTTGCAGGTAACCATGGTTAACAGAGGAAGAACATCGATTTTAAGCACCACCCTCCTTTTAAAGCTTCCAGTCCAGCCACATGATAACAGTTGATGGATTCAGGAAGGAAACAGCTAGCTCGGCTCTGTGAAAAATGTCACACTAATGCATTTGTGTCTTCTAAGGGTTCTCCTGTCTGTATAAGATTTGCCACACTGGCCAGAGCTGTACAGTTTCTCTCCAACACTAGGGATGGGGATCGGTAATTTTTATTGATATTGATACCCTTGTTGAGACTGCTTAACTATCCGATTCTTTATCGATACCACTCTCGATACTTTACTATTATTTAGTAAATTTAGTGATTATTTGGTAAGACCAGACCCAACAGGCATGAGGTAAACCTGCACGGTATGAGGAAAGAATATTCAATGCGCGATAACGTTATATATTGAGATGGCATATCACTTGCAATAAATAAACATATATTGAAGTGTACATATTAACTGCTTGGTTGTTTTAATATTTTAAATACAGCTAAATGTTGTTTCCAGAGCAGAAACATTGTTTACAACAACAGCAAAGTCACCATATAGTCAATATCTGACATCACAAGTAGTAGGTGACGTTTAGAAAGAATAACATCAGTCTGGATCAGTCCCTCCTCCTCTCTCGCTGGCGGCAGTTAACGTTACCAGGTAGAAGGAGGAGCGGCTGGTTTGTCTCAGCCAGCAGTTGAGTTTTTAAGACTACAGACCTGTCTGTGCTCCAGACAGACAGCTTTCTATTTAGCTTGATTTTGATGAGCTAGCGGTAGCTTCTATAAAACATACAGGATGAGAGACTGAGAACAGAGATGATTAAACTAACCCTTTCTACATGTTTAACGTTACCCTAGAGACAGGTATATTGATAAAGTATTGTCTTTTTACTTGCGAAGGTTTTATTGCACATACTTAACATGTTAGTAGTTTGGAGCTAACTCGTAACCATTGCGTTTCAAATTAAATCAGATATGATGCTCGAGACATAATATTACATCATAGGACCTAGAAGTCTCGATAACTGTATCGATAAGCTCGAACCTTCTTGATTTTTGGGTTTTGAAAAATTTTGAAACAGGGTCTCGATCCCCATCTCTAGTGAACACGTTGGTGGATTTTTAGGTGACCTGATGTAGTGAAAGTTTTTCCACATTGTTCACACCAGTACGGTTTCTCTCCAGTGTGAACACGTTGATGGATTTTTAGGTGACCTGATGTAGAGAAAGTTTTTCCACACTGTTCACACCAGTGAGGTTTCTCTCCAGTGTGAACACGTTGATGGATTTTAAGGGCACCTGATGTTGTAAAAGTTTTACCACACTGTTCACACCAGTATGATTTCTCTCCAGTGTGAACACGTTGGTGGATTTTTAGGGTACCTAATATAGTGAAAGTTTTTCCACACTGTTCACACCAGTATGATTTCTCTCCAGTGTGAACACGTTGGTGGATTTTAGGGTACCTAATGTAGTGAAAGTTTTTCCACACTGTTCACACCAGTATGATTTCTCTCCAGTGTGAACACGTTGGTGGATTTTCAGGTGATCTGATGTAATGAAAGTTTTCCCACACTGGTCACACCAGTACGGTTTCACTCCAGTGTGAACACGTTGGTGGATTTTCAGGTGATCTGATGTAGTGAAAGTTTTCCCACACTGGTCACACCAGTACGGTTTCACTCCCGTGTGAACACGCTGGTGGATTTTCAGGTTACCTGATTGAGAGAAGGTTTTCCCACACTGGTCACAGCCGTACGGTTTCTCTCCAGTGTGAACACGTTGGTGGATTTTTAGGGTACCTAATGTAGTGAAAGTTTTTCCACACTGTTCACACCAGTATGATTTCTCTCCAGTGTGAACACGTTGGTGGATTTTCAGGTGATCTGATGTAATGAAAGCTTTGCCACACTGGTCACAGCTGTACGGTTTCTCTCCAGTGTGAACACGTTGGTGGATTTTAAGGTGATCTGATGTAGTGAAAGTTTTCCCACACTGGTCACACCAGTACGGTTTCACTCCCATGTGAACACGCTGGTGGATTTTCAGGTTACCTGATTGAGAGAAGGTTTTCCCACACTGGTCACAGCCGTACGGTTTCTCTCCAGTGTGAACTCTCTGATGAATCCTTAAATTTACAGATGTTGTAAAGGATTTGTCACAGTGCTGACAGTGGTGACGTTTGAGTCCATCTCTTCTTCTCCTACTCTATATCAACAGAGAGAAACAGTAAGTGAGATGTCATGGTGGAGCAAGCCATCTAAAACAATAAATTACATTTAAAGCATATCTGTGGAACACAAATCCGCCGCTACACTCCCGTGATACATTCAGTAACAGTCCCAGCTCGTTATTGGTCCATCCCAGCTAAAACCCTGGTGTGGACAAAGATCGTATTCTTTTTGATTTTCTGTTTATAAACTAAAACGGAGTAGTGTGGATGGGTCCTAAGTCTGCCAAGCTAATGCGTACAGAATGGAAGATAACAGTGTTAAAAAGGGGTGATGGCGCATAGATAAGATGCTAGCCTTTGGTGTGGGAGACCTGGGTTTGATTCCCACTGTGAGACATCCACCATTGTGTCCCTGAGCAAGACACTTAACCCCTAGTTGCTCCAGAGGCGTGCGAACTCTGACATGTATAGCAATTGTAAGTCACTTTGGTCAGCTAAATGAATAAATACAAATGTAAAACTGCAGTAACCAAACTGCTACATGCATAACTCAAATCTAGTGTTATCTCAGTTATTTTTGTTATTAGTGACCGATTGAGGAGAAAGATGTCCTGATCCGATGGCAAACTGCTGACAAAGCCACCTTTAATGGGCGGCGGAATGTGGTCTGGATTTGAGTAAGTTTACTTTATATTTTTAATTAAGATTAAGAATCAAGATTGCTCGCTAGGTAGATATTTAAAGTATTATGGTAACGTTACATATCAGGAGTTCTTTTTGCTTTCATGAGAATACTTAATTTTATCAAAAGTAGTCAATTTAGTTACATTGTCCATTAAAAGTGAGCTGCTGCATCCTTGAGGTTTATGAGACCTCTCTCCAATGCCATTGCTTTTCTGATGAAAGCCACAGAAACCATGAGAGCAACAGATACAGATGCTTTTTTATGTGTGTTGTACAGGAGCTGAAGGCACCTAGAACAGGTGTCAGCACATAGGGAGGAGAGGCCACCACGGCATCCTGGAAGTGGAACCAAATAACGGACGAGGCATTGGGCCGGAGTTCCCGCATTACACCTCCAGTGGTCATTGACTCGGCCGACCAGGATGTGGTGGTGGTCTCTCCTCACCCAGGGAACTCCAGTCTGATGCAGAAACCAGTGAGTTGCGTATGATGACAGATCATACCATCAGGTCTTACCATTCCTGTAAAATTCATGCACAATGCCTATTTAAGGCATATCCAAAGTAAATTGAATGTAGTTGTTGCACCATTTGGGTTAATGCAGGGTTCTGGGCTTCTCTGGAAGATGAGACCCTCTCCGGGAACCATCACCTTATTGTGGTGGAGAGGTTTGCATGCCCCAGTGAGCGTGGAGGCTGTGTTGTATGGGGCCTAGTGCTCCTGGTAGGGTCTCCCAAGGCAAAGTAGTTCCAGACCGAGAATGGTTAATAAAGACGCCTGATGGAACAACGAGGAAGAGGAGGAGAGACCGTGCCTGGAGGAAACCTGGGGCCCCAGTCTGGAGCCAGGCCCAGAGGGAGGGCTCGTCGGCGAGCGCCTGGTGGCCGGGTTTGCCACGGAGCCCGGCCGGCCACAGCCCAAAAAAGGTGGCAACATGGCACTCCCTTCTCCATCCTTTGGACCCACCATCTATCGGAAGATCCGCAGGGGTCTGTTGGCTGCCACATGGGTGGCAGTGAAGGTCAGGGGCCTCGACGGACCAGACCCTGGTGCAGAGGCTAGCTCTGGGGACGTGGAACGTCACCTCTCTGTTGGGGAAGGAGCCGGAACTTGTGCTGGAGATTGAGCGCTACCAATTACATCAGGTGGGGCTGACCTCCACGCACAGGCTGACCTCCACGCACAGTTGAGTGGGTGTTTGTTGTTAGACTTCTGTGCTAGTCATGGATTGTCAATAACAAACACCATGTTCAAACATAAGGATGCTCATAAGTGTACGTGGTACCAGAGCGCCCTAGAAGATCAATGATCGATTTTGTAAATCGTTTCATTATTAATTTTTTCATCTGATTTGAGGCTGCATGTTTCGGACACTCAGGTGAAGAGAGGGGTGGAGCTGTCACCATCTGGTGGTTAGTTGGGTCAAGGCATGGGGGAAGACTCTGGATAGACCCTGTAAGCCAAAACGGGTAGTGCGGGTGAACTGGGAACGTCTGGAGGAGGCCTCCATGAGATCTTCAACTCAAACCTCCGGCAGAAAGATTTCTGGCTTCCCTGTGGAGGTTGGGGATTTTGAACATGATTGGGCAATGTTCACTGGACTCTACTGTGGCAGATGCAAAGCAGTGGGTGTGGCAGGAGTTCGGAGAAGAGATGGAGAAGAACTTTCGGTCGGCACCAAAGTGCTTCTGGAGAACTGTCCGCCATCTCAGAAGGGGGAAACGGGGAAGTCACTGAGGTACTCAAACAACTCCACAGTGGCAAAGCCCCAGGAATTGATACTCTTGAAATGGAAATCTCCTACACCTCCATCGTACATTCACTGGATTAGGGATGTCCTTTACTTTGCCAAACTGGAAAAAATTAGGCATTTGATAAAGGGCTCCCAGGCAAAATTTTCAAAGCCGTGGGACCCCTTTTTTGAATATGTTGGGAAGCTGGCCTTCCCAGACAATTCTGAGTAGACTTTTCCCACATTTCTGCAAATGACTGGGCAGTAGTCCTTGGACCGTCACTCACAGCTAGTAGTTAATGTTTGTTTGTTTTCAATATTATTAATTATTATTATTATTATTATTATTATTATTATGTTGTTTGTTGTTGTTATTTTTGTTGATTCTTTGTGTTCTTATATATATTTTGTATCTGAAGGGGAATTATGTTTGTTCTTTTTTATGTTCAAAATTCAGTTAATAGAAAATGCGGTTTTCGTCCCTGTCGTGGAACAACTGACCAGCTCTTTACTCTCACAAGGATCCTGGAGTAGGCTTGGGAGTATGCCTATGTGCTTTGTTGATCTGGAGAAGGCGTATGACCGGGTCCCCTGGGACATACTGTGGGAGGTGCTTCGAGAGTATGGGGTGAGGGGGGGGCCCTTCTCAGTGCTATCCAATCCCTATACATCCAAAGCGAGAGCTGTGTCCGAGTACTCGGCATTAAGTCGGACTGCGCTTTCTCACCAATCCTGTTTGTGATATTCATGGACAGGATATTGAGGCGTAGTCGTGGCGAGGAGGGGCTGCGGTTCTGCGACCGGGTCATGACCGAAAGAACGAGATCGCGGGTACAAGCGGCTGAAATGGGTTTCCTCAAGCGGGTGGCTGGTGTCTCTCTTAGAGATAGGCTGAGAAGCTCGGCCATCCGCGAGGAGCTCAGAGTAGAGCCGCTGCTCCTTTGTGTTGAGAGTAGCCAGTTGAGGTGATTTGGGCATCTGGTAAAGATGCCTCCTGGACTGGAAGAACCAGGACTAGGTGGAGAGATATCTCCACACTGGCCTGGGAAAACCTCGGGATCCCCTAGTCAGAGCTGGTTAATGTGGCTCGGGAAAGAGAAGTCTGGGGGTCCCCTGCTGGCAAGCGGCTGCTGCTGGCATCGCTCTGTATTAGCCGGTAGCTTGACGCAGTGGTTTTTTGCTGGTAAATCATGACCATCCTACCTAAAGCTGGATATCATTATTTGTAGAATGTTATTGGCTACACGAAATGCCAGTCATCGGCACAATTCGTTGCAATTGGCTCGGTCTACACACGAAACAATAGGGGCTGGCCCTTCCTTACAGCGCGGGCTCTTGTTGGCTATTATAAGCTGTGAAAGGGACATGTGAACTCTTACTGGGTCTAATTTGATGTCATTCAAAAGGTCAGAGTTCAGCGGCTAATTTGAATACAAGATATCGCAGTTGTTTACATTAAAATCAGAGTTATTACGGTTATAATGACATACAAGCTACGTCTGCTGGCAAATACGAAACGATGCCGCAGCAGTCCCTGGGGATTTATTGATGGATGTCAAATTGTCTGGACGGTTGACAAGGTAGACCATTTTTTTTGGAATAGTCAATCGGTGGATTACTATGAGGCTTCATAGGGAGGTCGGGTAAATTTTGATTGTACTGGCTGGTCTGACAGAGGCGCTAATTGTACCCTCTGTGGTGATTGCATCTTGACTCCCGCTACTAAACTTTACACGTGATAAAATCAATGCGCAACTAACGTTAATATTTTCACTCGCACACTGTGCAGCATGGTAGTGCTTAGTTAGCATCCTCTCATCATTCTTCAAAAGACAGCTACCTGACAAGCGGCAGTAGGTAACGGTGAAAGCAGTGAAGCAGATGAAAAGATGAGCACTATGATTCAGTCTGCCAGTAAATGTACAGTGCAGGTCACAGTGTGTCTGTTTATTAAAGTCTGTCTGTTTTCCAAATACTGGAAAAGTGAAGGCAGTTAGCGCTAGCCAACATCTGCTCTTCAAGCTGAGCAGGACAGTTTTTGGCTGCTAGTTCAAATTAGTTTGTTGCGATTCATCCACATATCGAGTACACAATGAACCAAATGCCGTTTTCTCAAGGCCCATGGAGCTCCATACAAGATCACTATAATCAACTTACAAGACACAAACATTTAACTACACAAGACGAGATAAAAAAAACTGAATACAACAATGATGTGTATTTTATACTATTTGATAATTTTTACATTAGTATTATTCTGTTTAAAATAAATAAACTGTTCATAGTAGTTTCAGTTTTGTAAAGGCCAGTCCCATATGGACGCATGTCCCAAATAAAGGCAGGGTCACTTCAGGGATTTTAGCAAATAAAAGCCCGGGCTATTATTCAAAGTTTTACGGCATGTGCATACACGTGTACACAGTACGATGGAGCACAGTTCAAAGGATGCTGGAATATAAGTAATATAAGTATATTGTGCAGGAGTTATGTATTTGAAGTAGGTGGATTTGGTATAGTATATGACAATATGTACAGTATCAAAAGCATTGAAATAGAGAATGGTGAATAAATAAGTGGTAACCAGTCTTCTTGTTTAAAGTGTCATCAGTCACTAGCTTGCAAGACAAGAGGCTTCACTACTTCACCAATGAGCGGACACTAAGTGCAGGTAGCACTCATGGGAGTAGTAGTGTCACATGGCAATTCGTTTGTTATTTCAGATGCGTTTTGATGAACACACCAAAGTGGCTAGTGGGAGTGACTGTTATCCACCATGGCAGCCAGATTTGAGTTGGCACTTGGCTTATATCCTTTACAACTGAAAAGGTGCATATGGAATAGTTATGGCTCAATAGTGCGAGCACAAATAACACTGCCAGTTTGAATGTTTATTAAGTGTGTGAGACACCATTATCTATTCCTTTCACATTCAGTTCTATTTTGATATAAAACATCCACAAACATGATCACACTTGGTGTATCAGCGGACTTTATGCTTTTCA